TGGGGGGGGGGGGCTGAAGATGATCTCACACGCACTCCCGAGCCAGATGAAAAGCTTATGACTCGAGTTCGGAAAGCAAGTGAGGGGCCTGTTTCAGGTCTGAGCATGATATCGCAACGATAAAGCTCCCCCAGTGAATGAAACCACAATGAAAAGATCCTCTGCCATGAGAGGGGGGTCCCAACCCCAGCAGTCGGGGCTGCGGGGCCCACTGCCGCTGGCCACGCTGCCACCCCAGTTTCGTCTCCGGCTGGCAGATGGCTTCAGGCACAGGAGAGAGGAGCCCGGCGCTCAGCGCAAGGACCAGGAGCCGGGACAGGATGGGTGTCTGAGCATCATCTGGACCAGCATCTCAAGCCCTCAGCTGCTGCTTTTAGTCACTGAATGAAGATCTCCCCACCCTCTGCTGCAGCTGCACAAACGGAGAGGAGCTGGTGAAGCTCAGCACCCAGCAGCTCAGCACCAAGCTACGGCTCTGGCTGGGCTCCAATACAAGAGCTGGCATGCGGGAGCCATCAGAGAGCGATGGAGCCAGACTGCTGCTGCTGCTTCATAAACAGATAATGGCTGTTAATAAAAACCAAGCAGGGGTTTGCAAATGGGAAGAAGAAAGGGGGGGGAGGGAAAAAAGCAGAGTGAAATAAAAAGCCAAAGCAAAAAATAGAAAAAAAAAAGCAAAAAAAAAAAGCAAAAAAGCTAGGGTTTGTGTTGAAGTAAACAAAGGTTAAAGAACAGTCAGGCTCCTGCAGGAATAGCAGAGCTGGGCCGGGAGGGAGGGAGGGGGCATTACGTAATGCAGGAAAAATGTTGGCTCCATTCAGTTTTCCACCACTTCATGTGATGTCAGGAAAACCATATAAATCAACAGGCTTTCTGCTCCCACGGATGGAGGGCAGCAAGCAGCACTATTTATACTTACACAATTAAAAAAAAAAAAAAAAAAGGGAAAAAAGAAGAGAAGCCGATGATTTCCAAGACTGGGAATAATTGACTCAGATTCCTCTTTCCCAGCCCCTCTGGAATTGCTGTTTCTGGGCTGTTAACCCTTGAGGCATCCCTGCCGCTGCTCTTGCCACCCCCAGCTCCCCCATCCTCACCCATCAGCCTCCATCAGCTGCTTCAGGGGTCTGAAGGATGATGGGCTGGAGGCGAGCAAGAATGGCCAAGCATGGCGTTTGCACGAGATGGGGACACAGAGGCATGGACCTATGTCACATCTCCTGGGGCTGAGGAGAGCTGGGGAGCACGGAGGGGCTGTGTAGGGCTGCCACAATGGGTTGGGGACCCTCGGGACAGGGTTCCTTGGGGTACTGCCATCCATTTAGGGACAGGCTGAAATTTCAGGACAGGATGCTAAGATTTCAGCAGCCCTTGGCAGCCCGACGCCCTGCTGGGGTCACAAACCACCTCCAGGGAGCACCCAGGCACCTCTTCTGGGACAGAACATAGACTGAGGCAGCACAAGGTGCCTGAGCTCAGAGTGCACAGACCGAGGGGTTAAACCCCACCAGGACGAGGGGTCAGAATCAGGCCTGGCCGCACATCCCGCCCCAGATCTCCCAAGCGCTGGGGAGCTGCCTCTAAAGCAACCCTGCTGCTGCCCACACTGCAGGCAGGAGGAAGCTGCGCCTGTCGGCAAGCGTGCCCAGCCTCCCCCGGACGCTCTCCGCAGCCGCTTCCAGTCACGATTTCCATGTAAAACACTGCTGCCATGACCCAGTGTTCTACATTCCGGTTCCCGTTTTTTCCAGCCGCTGGTGGCCTGCATTCTGCAACAGGCTGTGGCCCTGCAGCACTTTTAATTAGGGAGGTTTAAGCTTTGCTCAGCGCCCAGCACAGCCGCTCTTGCTTGGGAGTCCAGGCTCCTGCAGCCCAGGGGAATGAAAATGGCTGCCCTGAAGATGGAGGATGTGTGTGCCCAAGCAGGGTGCAGGCTTGCTCGTGAGGGCTCGGTGATGGTGATGCTGATGGCCGGGCAGTGGCACGCTGCCGGCACTGCATGTGGTGGGGGTACACCGGCACTACAGAGGTCCCCCAAGCCTCCCCTCACTTTCCCAGAGAGAAGGCGGCTCTGGAGCTTTCCAGGACACCTCACCCAGCCCTGCCCCTACTCCAGGACTCGGGGAGTGGGGATGTGCAGACAAGCGCTCCCCCTCACCCAGCCCTGGGAAAGCGATGGCGGGTAGGGGGGTGCAGGGGTCATGCTGTGAAGGCTGTTTCCTGACCCGTCCTGGTGACTAAGCAGGTTCCTTCCCAGATAAGACCGAATCCACCTTCTCCTGTACCATGTGCCAAGCCTTGCCCTTGCTTATGCTGCGGCGACCTTGGAGCCACAGGTATGGCTGGGGTGGGCCAGGGGCTGCCGGAGCAAGCTCATGGCCACAGGCTCCAGCACTGGCCTCAGCAGAGCTCCTGCAACACAGGCCACATTAATTAGCTTTAAGGGGATTTCACGTAGCCTCTACTTGCTTTTGAAACTCTCGGACCAGAAGGTTTATTCCCGCTGTTTCTCTGCTCTTTTCTCCCCATCACAACACAGCTACTCTAATTCAACAGCACTGACCCATGCCCTGCATGGGCAAGTTTCCCTGAATGCCACTTGCTTTTGCCACCTTCCCCATCACAACTGCCCCTTCCCAGGGCCTGTCACGCTGCTGGGTTTGCAGGTATGGCTGCTCCCTCTATCGCTGTGATGCCCCAGAGACACAGAGGTCAGTACCCTCTGCCTCAGCACCAAAGCAGCACCCAGTCACCACAGGATGAGGACGGGCTTGGGGAACAGAGACGATCCCCATCTCTGTGCTTTTGGCACTATCTAGAAAGAAGCCTGGCTGAGCTCAGCAGGACTGAGGGGCTGTGTGGGGCAGCACCTGCCCACCCTTCCGTGGGCAGAAAGCTTGGAGGTGGGCAGGCAGCCAGGCAGACACCCGGCTGTCCCAGCCATGGGGAATTAAAGGCAGATTTAACTCTCCCTTCGGCAGCTCATTGCTTCTCTCTCCTCCTCTCTGCTGGGCCAGGGCATTTCATTCATCAGTCGCCTGCCTCCCATTCTGCTCTGCAGAAGGGCTGTAATTAGGGCAGCGCATGCCTCCTCCTGCCTGCATCTCGTGCCTGGAGAGCATCATCTCCAGTAGACCCTGACTCACCGAGTGATGACCCTCTGCCCCTGCCCTCCTTCCCCTTCCTAGCACATCCACGGATTTCCTCTCCTGCCCTCCCTCTAATAGCAGTGAGAGGGAGCAAAGAGCCCAAACTGGACCTCGCCCTTGGCACATTCACCAGGGATGAAGCAGCGCAGGGATGGGGGAATGAAGGGCAGCTTTTGGGTGGCTGGATTCACGCCACCGTGACCCCTCTGTACCCTCCTCTCTCATTCACTCTGGCTGGTGGGCTCAGTGGTGTGGAGCTGGATGTGCAAGGAACGAATGCACACAGAGGACCCAGCGATGCCAGCATGGCTTGAGCCTCCTTGGTCTGCATCCGGGACTGCCCTACCCCACCAGAGCCACCAGTGGCCAGGAAAGTGGGTGCAGATGGACACGTGTGGCCACAGCTCCCTAACTCCAGACTAAGGGCACGAGCACTAGGTAAAGTGGTAACCCAGGGCTCCTACCTGTGAGGATGGAGACGCTGTGGAAACAGCTGTCTAGCTTGCCCAGGAGGATGGAGAGGAAGCTGTCGGCAGCCAAGCCGGTCACGTCCCGCGTGCTCTGGTCATAGACCACCACGTCCTGGTGCTCCTCTGCCTCCACCTGAAGGAGAATGGCAAAAAGCGTGTGTCAGAGAAACAGACTGAGCACTGAGGATGCTGCTGCCCACACCACCAGGGGAAGCAAAGCTGAGTTTAGTGGCCACACAAGCAGGAGACCCCAGTTTCATGCTGTCCCCATGAGCTGGCCTCGCTCACAGCATGAAGGGTCCAGCCAGGCTGGGACTCTGCTCCACGGCTACAAGTGAGTGTGTGGGTACAGATGCCCATCGGAGCAGCCCCACCAACTGCAAGTGCTGAGCATCCTACCCAAAACAGGGTCACTCCTCCCCATCGCCCACCCTCAGCTTGACATTACTTAACTGAACCCCAGAAGCCGCCGCGACTTTTTCCACCACCTCCTCCCCATCCAACCTTTGCCCTCAGATACTCCTCAGCAGCTTGGCTGGTGTCATGTGGATTTGGGGGTGGTTCTGCAGGCAGGGGTGCTCCCAGAACAGCCCTTGTGCTGCGGCTGGAGCAACAGCTCTTCAGGGCTCAGCCTGGAGACACCGTGCCCAGCACAGTAACACCTCTGTAGGCACCACCCCTCTGGAAGCTCAACCCAAACCTGCAGATCACCCCTGAGGGCAGAAGGAGAGGGAAAATCTCTTCTTTAGTTCGGTGGATGTTCAGGAGGATGCTCTTTCTTCCTTTTGTAATGCATGGCAGGGCTTGCACACTGCAGAGAAGTGCTGGGGAGAGGGAAAGGAGCTCCCGGGCTGCTCTCACGTGGCTTTACATGCCACAGACAGCACCCAGCCCTGCCGCCCGCTGCCGTAGGGTGTCCGAGGCGGGTGAGATGGTGGGGTACCCCTCAGGCAGGCAGCAGTCTGCAGGCAGGAGTCGCCCATGCCTCCTGATGGCTGGATTGCAGCAAGAGCACTCGAGGTGCAGCCAGCCGTTTCTACGCCTACCTGAAGGTCCGTGCATCAAAAGAAGATAAAAATCCTCGCAGAGGCACGGCTCAGCGCATCCACTCAATGGCCGGGTGGATGGCATACGCCTGCCTTGCGAGCGCCTGCCCTCCCAGCCAGCGGGGTAGGGCACATCCATCACGTCGTGGGAGGAGGAGGCAGGAGGAGGCAGCAGAAGGCAAGGAAGGAAGGTCTGCGCCACCAAGCTGCTCTCTCCTCCGCTTGTGTTGGAGCTGCCCCCCCTCCGGTCCCCAGCCTTCTCCAAAATCTCTTTAAAGGAGACCACTTGAACTAGGAACCACTCGTGGACACCCGCCTCCCTTTGCTGTCTCACTGCCATGCCCTGTCTTACCACCAGAGCAGATTGGCTCGGGGTTTCTGTCGATATTAATGCTGCTTTCACACCCTGCTGCAGGTGCTTCCCTGCTCAGCAACGTGAGCGCCATCCAAATAAAACTGCAGGGTGCACTGATTTAGCTGAGCTCATCACATCTCCTCGCCGCAGTGGAAGGACAGCCCCGCACCGACAGAAATCCCCGCCGGGGCACCACGCACAGCTCCGCACTAGGAAGGGGGGAGCTCAAAGGAGCTGCCTGTTCCGAGCCCAGCACCAGGCACCGGAGAGCAAAACTGGCCCCACAGGGCAGTGGGATAACAGGAGGGATGAAAAGGCAGTGGCAGGGTGAGAGAGAAAAGGATGTGGGAATTTGAAAATAAAGACACTGAAAATGACTGAAGTCACCTGGGGTTAAGCCAGCTGAGGATCTACCCCAGCATCTCTTCCTCAGCCACCCCTGAAGCAGGAGCTTTGCGGGAGGCCATCCCAAGAAAATAATCAAGGAAAACACTGTGGCTGCCAAGCCAGCTCAGAGCCAGGAGCCCACCGGTCCTTAGCAGGGCCACTATCCCTTCAAGCTCTCTAGCATGCTATCAGCACATCCCAATAACCCAGTCCCCAGCCTGAAGCCCCGTGACAGCAAAAGCATCTCCCCCAAAAGCAGGATGAGGCGGGGACCAAGCTGCGGTGGGGCAGGGGCTCATCCCGGCTGCGTGGTCCAGGTTGGTGTGGCTGCAGGGGAGATACCAGCTCTGGCTGAGCAGAATTATCCCACAATAGGATTTAGTGTTCCCTCCACATGGAGAGGCTTTGTTTGGGCCATTACTGCAGGGTTGCTGAGCGATGGCAGAGATGTGCGACACGGTTTACATTCTATTAAAGTTATAAGGTTTCACTCAATGTAAATGCCAAACAAGCACCGGCCTTGCATGGCCCGGCTGCAGAAAATAAATACCCTGCTTTCTGAGACAAGGATACCTGTAGCATGGTCTTGAGGAGCCCTCATGGAGCACACAAGGAGCCTGCACCAGCATCCCAGCTCCTCACCACAAAGGGAAATGAGTGGTTTAATCTGGTCCATGGGTCTTCCATTAACCTCACACACTCCTGATACACAGGAGAGGGCACGGGCCCATCTCTGTCCTTAAACATATGGAGGTTAAAAGCTAACCAGGGCAGAGGAGGAGGGTAATGCTGAAGAGATGCTCAGGCCCAGATTCCTGCCTCTGCCAGGTGCTGGCACAGGGCAGGGGCAGGGCTGACAACAGGACTCCCTCCGAGGAGCAGCACCTCCATGGTGGGAGCTCTCTCATGTGGGTTGCCCATCACCCCAAGACCGCTGAATTAACCAACCCCCAAGGCATCACCCTCCAGAAATGGTCCCCAAATCCAGCCAGCAAAGGCCAGCAGGGCCAAGGCGCAGCAAGTCTTCTGGCCCCAGGCAGATGTTGAGTGGGGCTTACAAACCCATGCATGCTTTTGGAAAGCTGCTGCCTCACCCCAGGGCACCTCCCCAGAGACAAACCCCCCTGCCAACATCTCAGCTGGTGGGGATGGCCAGCCTGGAGCAGGGACCACACAGCCAACAGCTCCACCAAACCCCAGCTGAGGCCATCCACTGCCTTCACACCAAGGCCAGTACTCCCCATCACCCTCCCCAGCTCTGGCTGGAGGTAACTCCCTTATGAACATTTGGTCCCCGTCACTGGGTGGTTCAACACAGCCTAGGTCCCTGCTCCGCCTCCCCCCAGCTGCCAAGCAGGGATGGTGATGCTCTACAGGTGATCCGGGCTAAGATAAGAGCGAGCTACTCTTATTATCCCAATTACTACCGACATCTCAGTCACATATTGTTTCAAAACACAGTGAATCACCCCACTGAAATAACAGGGCTTCCATCAACATAAAGAGCAGCCAGGCACACGGCTCAAAAATAAGCCCCGGCTTTCCCTCAAGCAAAACAGCTGCTTGCAGAGCCATGCTCCTAACACAAATAAATAAATAAATATTCCCATTGCCTGAAGAGACCCTCATCATGCCTCTAACCACGGCTATAGCTGTGCTGGAGATAGCTATATTTCAGGAAGCGAGAAGAGGTTGAGAAGTGGAAAGTCTTTCCAGGGGGATCTTGAAGAAGTGAAATTTTCAACATTTCCCTCAGGAAATTCTAGTGAAAACCCCAAGCAGGAATTTCCCATAACCTCTGCCCCTGAAACTGCACCAAGGAGCTGAATTATTCCTGTTGCTATTGGAATTTATTATTGGGAGATTTTATTATTGTTAGTATTAGGAGAAGCGTTCAAAACCAAAACCAGAGCAGTACATTATTTTTGTGTGGAGGGAGACTATTGCTAATTGGGAAATTAATTGCTGCTGCAGTTTTTCCCAGGTCGGGCACCACAGGAAGATGGTGCACAATGGGGCTCAGGGAGCAGTGGCTTAGCTATGCCCATGATCGTAGGCATATTTCATTGAAAAAAAGAAAGGGATTTTTACGTTCCTCTTTTATTCTTTCCAATCAAATGGTCCTTTCCATGCACCAAAAAAGCCAGGAGCTGCTGTTATCCCACAGCATCACTCCAAACTGCACCACCCAGAAGCATCATTAATGGTACCTATCCTTAACAGGGGTATGGAAAGAGGGATGTGAGCATGGGGAAAAGCAAATTAGACAATGGCTCTCATCCCCCCTGCCTGCACACAGGAGGAGTGGAAGGGAGAGCCAGGTGGGGTTGCTCTGTATCAGGCCCTGCCTCCTACCCCAGAAGGCGATCGCCAGCCAGGGCATTGCCGAGCCGGGATGCGTAGGTCGAGTTCTCTTTGCACCGGGCAGGTGAGGGGGAGCGGGACGTGGTGGGAGCTCAGAGCTGCCCTTTCCCTGCCCGGGCAGCCCCGCGTCGCTGCGGGCTGCCTTTGTCTCAGCAGCCCCGGCCGGCTGGGAGCAGGAAACAGGAGGAGGGCGGGAGGCCCGTCAGGAGGAATAATGGGGCTGGACAATCGCACCACTGATGTCACCCTTCCTGCCATCTGCTCCCAACACCAGCCGTGCCCCCCGTCCCCCCCTGCTTCGCCCCACCACCTCCCCCAGCCCCAGTGCAGGGAGCCAGGGGCAGAGCAGGGCCAGGGCTGGGGGAGGTTGGCCAGCTATGGCAAGTGGAGGCAGGGAAATGATACCGGGTAACGGAGGTCTAAACCAGCTTTCAGCATCCCCCTCTGAGGGTCTGTGCACCTCGAGGTAGCAGACCATATTGATTTCTGGGGGTCCCGAAATACATCCACAACCCAAGTGGTTGAAATCAGAGGCGTGGGGTAAGGAGCAAGGGGCAGGGGAGAGTTCATCACCCCAGAAGGCAAGCTGGCAGGTGTGTGCACGAAAAGGCTTGGACACCCCGAGCCATGGCCACTACCTCCACGAGGATATGGCTATGAACCCCCTGGTCCCTGCCTCCAGCTTCCCAGGGCAAGTGGCTTAACCTTACAAGGATGCCCTGAAGCTTAATTAATTCCTGGGCTGCATGTGCTGGGAGAGGCAGCGGGGGCACACCGCCTCCTGCCCCTGCGTGTGTCGGGAGAGATTTCAGCCATACGGAAAAGAAAAAAGGAAAAAGCCGTGAATTAAAGACGGTGGCAACGCCTCTCCTCCGCCCCCCTAGCATCCGTGGTTATAATCAGGTCCTCAGCCGGTACCTGGACCATTACACAATGATCCTGGAGCGGGGAGGAGGCGATCGCTCCTTCCACAGGCACAGAGCAGGGACCGCAGGACGGCCCAGCTGACCCCTTTGGGAGCCACTGCTCCTCTGCGGCTGAGGAGCTGCAGGTTTGCAGGCAAACAGCATCAGCTGACGTTAACTCTTCCGTGCATCCCCTTTCCCCATCATTCTCTTCTTCCTCCCCCTTGCGCATCGCTTTTGCTGCTGCTGCCGCTCCACGTGACAGCGGCCACTGCAGAGGTGACCCTCGCCGGGAGGAGGGCTGCCGCACCGCTCTCCTCCTCGCTTGCGAAAAACTGATTATTCTGCTTTATTCTCCGGGGGATTTAAGAGCAGCTAAAGCCGTTCAGGAATCAGTCTCTGCAATCCCCTCCAAATCGCCCAGCCCAAAGCATCACCGCAGCAGATTGGCGTGAGGCCGGGCCCCCCCCCGCGCTGCGAGTCCCCTTGATCCCGGCGGGGTGATGTCACCGGCAGCCAATGCGGGCAGCGGTGGCTTCGCGGGGCGGCGGGGCGGGGGACACGCCGCAGATGGCTCCAGCTGGGCCCAGCATTTGATTAATCGCCTGAATTACCCTCGCTTTGCCATAAAATTACAAGGCGGGAATGGGGGAACGGTAAAAGCGAGCCGGCGGGAGGGCGGGCTGTGATGGCAAACCACCCTCCGGCTTGTCCCACAGCCCGGCGCCCACTTGGCGCAGCCCTTCCAGCAGCATCTCGGCGGAGGGCAGGACCTGGCCCATGGCACCACCGGGACACCCAGCACTGTCCTGGCCACGGCTCCAGCCGAGCTCCGTGGCTCAGAGCCACCTCTATTATTTAACCAGGAGCAATAGAGAGAGGAGTCCGGGAGAGATAATATGCCATGACACCGGATAAGAGTTTCTGGCGTCACAGGGGAGGAGGATTACATGTCCCTGAATGGAGTTAGAGATGACAGAGGGGAGGGGAAGAGTTTTTAGCAGGGGATTAAGCTTACAGCTCCAGAAAGGCTTTGGGGGGTTGTTTGCTGGCACAGGACAAGTTCTAAGGCTGATATACCTGTTAGACTTGCCTGGGGAGGGCTCCTGGAGCAGGAAGCCACGTCAAAGGGGTGGGGGCAAGAAACAGGTCCCCAAGGACAGCCCTGTGGCTGTATGAGTTCATGTTCCAGCTCTCCAAAGGGTGCCAGAGAGGTGCTGGCAGACACTGGGGTCAAGGGACAGAGGAGGAGCATGCACACACCAGGCACAGACTGGCCCTTAGACCAGTCTGCATCCCACCCCCACTCTGCCCCTTTCTACTGGGGAAGAGGGTGCAAGCATTCACCAGGAAAGGTGAGGATCAGATCCCCTACCTTCATCTTGGAGGCGGGCTGGATAAGCTCTGTGATGGAGACCTTGTCCTGCTGAAGCCTCCTCTTGACGAGCTTGGAGCAGCAGATGTTGACAGAGCTGAGGACGTGCCAGGAGTTGTACTCCACGAAGGAGCGGCTGTCAATGACCAGGGTGCCCTCCGCTCCGTTCCTCAGGAGGCTGGCCAGCTTCTTCGGGTCCATCACCTTGCGTGGGAGTCTGTCACCAGCCATAACGGGCCCGTCCCCTCTATGGCGAGTGGGGGGCAAGGGGCGGAAGGGCAGGGCAGGGACGCCAGCACCCGTCTCCCCACGGGGAATGAGCGAGGGGGTAAGGGGTAAGCAGGGCAGCACCCGTCCTGGTCTCCTCACGCTGCTAACACCCAGGATGCCAACTCATTGTGCTGAACCTGGAAAAAGAGGAAAGGAGAAGATGACCGGTCAGCTGGGCAGGACATGACATTCACCCTGGGCCAAGTCCCCAAGGGCTTAGCCTTTAGAAGATTGCAACAAGCCACACTTCCTAGGTATGCTCTCCCAGCCCGCGGGCATCTGTGGATCCAGAGCTGCCCAAGCCAGAGGTTTTCTCTTCGTATTTAATAGCCCTCAGCAGAGCTTTCTTCCATAAATTTGTCTAATTGCTTTCTGAAGCCATGTCAGCTTTTAACAGGCACAGTGGCTGGTGGCAGGGAGCAGGCAGAACAGTTTGCCAGCTACGGTGAAGAAGTCCTTCCCCTGGTTTGCTCCAAATCTGCTAACCGATGGCTCCTCTGGGTGACCCTTACTACTTGTACTGGAAGAAGCCACACATGCCCGTTCCCTAATCACCTTCCCCACGGTTCTCATCACATTTAGATCTCGTTTAGGAGCCTTTCAGGTCAGAGCATCTACAGAGTCGCCTGTTGCATGGGTGCCTTATGCCACCTCAGCCAGCTCAGCTCTGACACGCCATGTTTGAGAGGCAAGCACATGGAGGACCTGCATGGCGCAAGATGTCTCCTTCTTTCCCTGTTCCCAGCTCAACAGCTCCTCACACTCAATTTGTTTTTTCTGACCTCTGCAGAGCACAGAGCTAATGATTTCACAGAAGCAGCTTAGCTCAGCTCCAAGGTTTTACTGCTGCATGGCAATAGCTAGTTGGTGGCCCATCAGACACACCACCAAATCAGGTTTGCTCACCCATGTCTGTCACTTCACAGTGGATTTCACTTGCTTTTTATCAGAGCCTGCTCAAGGGTATCTTGCCAGCTTGCCCCCTGGCAAGTCAAGAGATGACCTCTCTTGCAAGCCAAGAAGTAGAGTTGACCTTCACTCCTGCCTTCAAGAAAGAGTCCAGGCATTAGGGCACAAGCCCTGAGAAAATGTACTCGGACTGAGGTGGCCCTGAAGCAGCTACTGCTTTCCAGCATCTAACCTGCACAGACTTTTAAAGGGGGCTCATACACCAGGGTACATATGTGAGCTCCATCTTAGGAGCTGAGGAGGGTCGAGCCTGGTGCTCTCTGAAGTGCCACCAGAAGAATAAGCTTCCTCCACGCACAGCCCATGGGGTCTGTGAGAGCAACAGGCAGGCTGGGGGGACATTCAGTTCAGGGTGTCTTCTTAGGTTTTAACGGCACACGTCATTGCAGGCATGTTTTAATGGCATTAAGTTTTAATGCCGCTGCAGTCATTCAGAAAATACGCCTGGGCTACTATCAGGCTCCTCTTGTTCCTGCCAGACGGTATTTTAGAGAGAACCCACAAGCTGTTCCATGGAAGCTTTAATGCATCTGAATTAGCAGCACTATGAGTACCATGCCTGAAAAGGCCAGCGTAAAGATTTTCATTGACTTCTGCAGGGCCAGGATTTGGTCCATGGACTAGAGGAGACTTATGAGTCACTCTGGTCCAGGTAAGCCAGCAGTTCTTGAATGTTCCTACACCCAAAGCCCCTGCGGTGCAGGCACCTACTGCAGTGGTAGCTCAAGGCACAAGAGAGATGCTTGAGCAGGAAATGCTACTGGGTGAAATGACAGAGACCCATCACCAAACCTGGAGGACGCGGTCAGATTGCAGAAAAAGGTTGGAAACTCACAGAATACGAGGATGAGGATTCCAGCATTTGCTCTTCCTCATGACTCCAGTGCCAACAGCCCCAGCTTCCCAGGCTACTAGACCTGTCTCCCAAAGCAGGGGGTAAATGTCCCAGGCTTCAGCCTCAGGATCCAAGCTCCCAATCCACAACAGGATGTGCAACTCTCCCCTGCCCTGGTATCGCACCCCTGCTGCCTCTGCCAATGTGTTAATTCAAATTGGAGGGGGGAGTGTGTGGGTGTGGAATCTCCTAAAAGCTACAATAGTGATGGCCCCTCCTGGCACAAAGCGTTTTGGCAGTCCCTCAGCACTACAGCGTTGCTGTCCCCGGCCCCATGGCGAGCTCATATTGCTCTGTGGCTCCTCACGGCGACTCCAATTAGAGCTGCCCCCTCGGCGGGGGGCATGGCATCTGCTCTCCAGATAATGTGCAAAGGGGAAACTTGGGGGTCTCAAGACACAAATAGAGGGGTCTGGGAAAGATAACAGATTCTCAACTGCTTAACCGCTCTGAGAAACCCGTTCAGAAGAGGCTTTCCACGCATGAAGTTCTGTCAGGTGACCAGGAGCTTAGGTGGAAGAGATTGGAGAAGACAGATGAGGAGGTTTCCCTGCTCAGCTAATAGCTGCCCTCCTTCAGAACAACCGGATAAACGTCCGCTCCATCATGCCTGGGTGGACCTGGTGGCAGGCACATGTGACACATCGACCAGGTCCCACTCCCAGCTCCACCCAAAAGATGTGGGGGAAGGCAGGGCAAGGTTGGTCCATTCTGCCCCTCTTTCCCGGAGCATTACGGGAGGGTGAAGATGACTGACTGAGTGGGGTCACTGGGAGCTGTAACCTTGGCATTAGATCCAAGACACAGGGACTTCTCTGAAAGTATGTCCAGCCAGGTCAAAGGCAGATGAACCACTTTTCTGCCAGTAACCACAGGACATTTTGGAGCCAGACTGAGGGGTGGTAGGTTCATTCCCAGCTAACAGGTACCCCAGGGATCAGCAGAGGCTGCGAGAACTTCATGGTACCTCACAGGCTGTGTGTGAGATGGTCTTGGAGACCACCAATGCCTCCGTACCTAGGAAAGCTACCAGAGAAGGAAGGAAGATGTCTTCCTGCTTCTGCTCAGATGGGTGAAAACTGAAGGAACAGGCATAGCCATGGAGCACTGCTGAAGTAAGAGATCTCCTTGCCATGGTGACAGGAGACCAGGGGAAAAGGTTAACCTGGAACCTAAATTAGGGTTTCAGAAACATAGCTGTGTCCCTCTCTTATCAGTTTATTAAAGCCATCTTAATCTTCTTGAGTGCTCCTGAAGAACATTACCATAATCCTTTAATCCCACCTCTCCCTGGAGTGCCTGTAATGAGGAGATGGGCACATGGCTTAGCTGAATGGGGACAGCCAAGCAGGAGAGGCCACACTTCAGCGGAGGGACAGAAAGACGGGCAGAGATTAGCACACAGGCTGGGCCAACTGCCTGCTCACCAGGACTCTGTCCCCCGTGTCACCTCCATGGATGTGCATGTCGGGTGAGGGGTTGCTGGCCAGACGAGTCACGAGCATGACAGAGATGTGCGTGGCAAGCTGGGCTAAAAGGGCAAGTGTTCATCCTGGCTGTGACCCGCTTCTGATCAGGCCAGGCAAGAGAGCAGGAAAACCTGAAACACACCCCAGCCTGAGTCTATCTGTGTGGCACGACAGATCACGAGAACTAATCCCTGTGGTGGCTCAGCACAGGTCACCGAGGTGAAGGCCACTTCCCTCAATTTCTCATCTTGCACAAGGCCCCCAGCTGAGAGATGTGATATGGGAAGGGTGCAGATCTGGCTTCTCTTGTACTGGAGAAATCAACTGGAAGGCTGGCATGACTCTGTAGAAACCATAATCCTCACTAACTGGCATGTTCACTCTTTGCACCAAGCTAGTAGTTGTGTCCTGGAGTGCTCTACCCTCCACACATGGTCCCGTTGAGGAGATGCTCCTCTTGCTGCCTCAGACAGGCCAGCTCTGCTGCGGGAAGCAGCTCTGACCTTGTGAACACATTTCTCATGTAAGTGAGATTGGGTCTACAGCATGTTCTCTGCAATGCTCATCCCAGGAGCACGCTCTTCTGGTGGCATCTCCTTGAGTTTACCAAGGGATAAGAGCACCGCAGAGAAACACCTGCTTGTTTGTCCCCAGTAACCCATGAAAGCAGCCGTTCCTGAAGAACTGCCATCCCCACCAGGGACCCAGCAGCGCTGAGCTAAGTGATCTGGCTTTTTCCTCTGCAGCCCGACTGGGGAAATATCCATGTCCTGTGAGCCCTGTAGCAAGATGCTGCCTCCATCCATCCATCCATCCATCCATCCATCCATCCTTCCACCCACCCATCCAGGTCAGCCTTGCCACCAGCCCCAGGCTGACCACTGGGATGCTGGCAGGACCCCACCAGCCCCCAGTTCTCCAGACACTTATTAAGATGTAAAACGTGGCACTTTTGCCAAGCCCTCCACCCTTTTTTTCCTCCCCATCCCCTCGTTTCTTTCAAGTGCTTCGGCACTTAGCGAACTCCCCTCGGCAGGCTCATGCTGTTTGAGGGATTCCTAAATCACAGGCCTATTACTAATTATTATTATTTTGCAGCAGCAATCAGGGACCCGGGGCTCATTAACAAGTTAGCACCTCTGGTTTCCCTGGAAACCCGCAGCTGCCAGGCAACGGCTGCGTCTCCGGCCCGAGGCGATGCTACTGCAGCGCCTTCGGCTCACTCCGGGAAAGATGCTTGGGTCCTGCATGGGCTGATGAATCCAGCTCAGCAAGCGGGATGGGGTTAGGAAACTCCAGGATGTGTCCCCCTGCTCTACTCCATCTGCTGTGAACCTCAGCGTGTCTACTGATCCCCTTCTGCCACTCACAGCATCATAAACTGCGTGCGTAGCGGCTTCTCCCTCCCAGCGAGAGATGCCGGCTTCCTCCAAGGGTGAGGAATTTGGAGCACTAATGATCCCCCAGGGTGGCAGTGGGACAAAGCTGTCAGGTGCCTGCAGTAGCTGCTTTGGAGGTGATGTAACCGCCAATGATTTCTTAGCAGCTACTCAAGGTCCCTTTAAAAGGCAGCACAAAAGGTTTCTCTGCTTGAGGACCGAAAAATGGAGAGGGTTTTATTTTTGCTCCTTAAAACCAGCTGGAAAACACCACTAACCACATCCACTAACCCAGACGCAAAGTCTGCTCATCCCCTTTCCCCGGTGAATCTCAGGGATGGGGAGGAAGGACACCTCCCCAGCCTCAGCAGTATGAAGATGCAGGGGAGGAGGCAATGCAGTCTGCTGCCCTGCTCTAACCACCC